AACACTCATAACTTGGTCAGAGAATACTGAAGCACATCTGTGTCACGATTGTAGAACGGCACTATGGAACAACCTCAGTTACTTCACTCCAGCTACATGATATCATAAATATACAGGCTGAATATAGTTATATTATTTGTATCATATCATCATCTGATGCGAATTCAAAAAGCAAGGGTTATAAAACAGCAACCTTGACATATCTGACAAAAAACTGACACAATAAAAAAAAATTCAACAAAGCAGCACCTGCAAGGGTGGCCAAGTTTAATGCATAAAGCCACATCAAATTATGAATTAATCTTAATTAACAAAAATTAATCTATTTTTAAATGTCTATTTCCAATTTCTAATTAACCTTAATTAACAAAAACATCAGAAAATGTTAAACTGTGTCTACAGTGTGTCCGCAACCCTGTTACCACATGACTTTCCCCATTACAAAAACGTAACAAAATGAAAATGTCCAAGTTGATCTGTATCCTTTCTAACACAAAGACAAATAGTATAATTCTGTTTTTTTTTTTTTTTTATATATTTTTGACACAAATCGTGTTCAACCCTGTTACCAACATTATTTCTAATTTTTTTTTTTAATTAAAAAACAACCAAATCAACCATATATTTTTTCTTTAATTTATGAGAATTCTACAATAATCAGTATAAAAAATCTGCATTTTCTCCCAAATATCTAGACCCTCTTGAGTAACAGCATATTTTAGGATACAATGTCAACACTGTTACCCATTCAGGTGTAGTTTCTATATTTTATATAAAAAATTATCAACAAATATTTTTGTTCTTTATCTGTATAAAATAAAAAAACAAGACAAAACTAAATAAAATGCTTTATATTTTTTTATAAAATAAAAACTAAGTCTTTGGGACTTGTGTGGTATGTTTGTGCAGTTATTTTGTCAAAAGTGGCAAGTGTCGCATTAGATCAAAACCGTACTTTTGCAAGTTTTAGTCCAAACCGGCTAGTTTTTAGGGCTTAAGAGCTTTATATATACATATATATATATAAACACACTTTCACCAGATCCTGACTAGCAATAGCAAATAGCAAATTTTGCTGTGAAATAACTGCTATTACTAAAATAACTGCTAATTACTAATTACTATTTAAAAGAAAATTCCTTTGAATAGTCTCTCATTCCAACTTTGCTGTAAAAATAGAAAATATGTCCAAACAGTAAAGAAAATGACATTTGTCATGTAGATTATAAAAAGTTTTCTGTATTGATGCTCCTGAACAACCAGCTGTGAAATAATCCTTAGATCCTTGTGTTGTTGACTTTCCTCACTTTAAGCATTTGTATGTCTATTTCTCACAACACAAGATCAGTAATACATGCTGCATGTGTAAATAATATCCACATGGCGGTTTTGGTTTGATTTAATATAAGGACTTTTGCGGTATACTTGCAATCTATCCTGTGGTGTGTAATTGAGTCAAATGTATCATGTTATTCTCTGCTGCTTACTCCCGTGTCTCAGACTCGCTCTGAATGCACAGTACACAAGTGCAGCTCTGATGAACAAAGACGGCAGCTGACGTAATCCACTCTGCATTCACTACCAACCTCCCAAACCTCCCTCTCCTCCTCTCCCTGGACACCGAAACCACTGCCATCAGAATACAGGAGCTTCCTGTGAGGGCCACACACCGAGCACTTCTTCATAATACAATATACAAACTGACACCGGTGCTAGTATTGGTTGTACTTCAGAGCTGATTCTTGTTTAATATTCCTTTAATTTGACACGAACAGAAATAAGGCTGTGAGGGATAGAAGTACAGTCCATTCAATCTACATTATCTCATTGGTATTCATAGCTATTTGTATGTAAAGTGTGTTTCAAGCACACATACATTTTGAAACATTTGCATAGATATGTCAATATCATGAACATTAAAGGATTCGGAAGCATGTGTATGTCCGTTTTATGTTTTAAGTGCTGTGATACAACGCTATTGTACATTTATCAACAACATACCTAACAATGATTTGTAAACATTTCTGCAAAGTTGTATGTAAAAGGATTTAAGTTTTAGGTGCTGTTGATACAATGCTGCACATCAAATGATTTTTAAACATTTAAATGTATGCATATGTATGCAAATGGTTTTATGCTTCAAATGCTGTCAATGGGTTGATACTGCACGCCTAGCAACAATATCATGAACATAATACACAATAAGCATAAAAGGATTTGTAAACATTTTTTAGTTGTACATAAAAGAGTTAAACTAACATAAAGTTAGCATAAAGCTCTGTTGATACAAGGCTATTGCATTTTTATCCACGCCAAATGATTTGTAAATATTTGTGCATCTTTGAAGTTGTACGTGAAAGGGTTTACATTTTAAGCTCTGTAAATACAATGCTGTTTGTCAACAACATCAAACAATTTGTTAACATTTGTACATCTCTAAAGTTATACATACACAAAAGTGTTTAGGTTTTAAGCGCTGTCGATACGATGCTACTGAAAGCTAATCAACTACATCAACATCAAAGGATTTGTAAACATATGTCTGTAAAGTTGTACAGACATAAAAGGGTTTACGTTTTAGGTGCTGTCAATGCAATGCTATTGTAAAAAGGATTTTTAAACATTTAAATTTATGCATATGTAAATGGTTTTAGCAAAAATATCATGAACATAATACACAATAAACACCAAATGATTTGTAAATTGATTTTGTAAGGTTGTACATAAAAGGGTTTATGTTTTAAGCACTGACAATGCTATTGCATGTTTATCAACAACATCCAAGTTAAAGGATTTGTAAACATTTGTATGTTTGACAAGCTGTACATAAAAGGGTTTACGTGTCGACACAATGCTATTGTACGACTGTAAAGTTGTACGTTCATAAATGATTTGATACTAATGTACGATTATCAACAACATCCAATGATTTGTAAACATTTGTACATCCGTAAAGTTGTACATACATAAAAGTTTTTATGGTTTAGGCGCTGTTGATATGATGCTATTGTATGGTTATCAACAACATCATCAACATTAAAGAATTTGTAAACATTTGACTTTAAAACTTTAAAGTTAGGCATATATAAAAGGTACTTTAAGTGATACTTTAAGTGATATGCCATATCATGAACATCAAAAGTTTCATAAACATTTGTATGTCTCTAAAGTTGTAAGTGCAAGTTTACATTAGATGCAGTCAACAACAGGTTGCTTTTATAGTTTCAGCGCCTTTTACGAACAAATACCTAATTTTTACAAATCATGTTTGAGGTCCACAATGAACTTAATATTTCACAGTCTTAGCGATCAACACCAGCCACATGACAATACAATATACTTAACAGACTGTACATCTTTACCTCACAGACTTATTTTCCCTTGCATCAAATTAAATTGGGTAAGGTGGCCTGATTCTGTGAGAATGTAATGCAAAAGTCACGTCATGACTTCACCTAAGAAGACCAAGTCAGCATCTGTGCTGATGATCCTAGAACAGTTGTGAAAAGGGCAGATAGGATCTCGCATTCTCTACATGAATCTGAGGACACACTGAGCACCTGACTGCAGAACAGTGTGTGGCTATAAGTTACGATATCACACTCCTCCTGCTGCAGAGCAAACACATGGATCTCGAGTGAGATGCGCTGCGGCTCCTGCTGCTGAAGATGACGAGTCAATTAAGAACATTCATATGCTGGACTGACCTTGTCAAGAAAGATGTCTTAATGTCTATCTGTAGGTAATGTAATTTTTTTTTTATTGTTAAATATTTCCCAGTCCTAATTTAGTCACATCTTGCACCCTGACCAGCCCAACACCGCAACGTAACTAATCATTTGTGTGAATCTGGGCGGAGTAACTAATCATTTGTTATCATATCGTTATGAGTTTTTCTGACCAATGGCAGATGGGTCTGTTTGGGGAACCCGTTTGAAAGTATTTTTCCTGTCATGTTTAATAATATTAGTGGCTTAAAAAAATTGTCCAGCAACCATTGTACGTTTACTTGCATGATAAATATGCATTTACAGCATTTACATTACCATCAAAAAGTTTGGGGTCTTCAATACTTCTTTTTTTTTTTTTTTGAAAGAAATTAATACTTCAGCAATGCTTCATTATTCAAATTTTTTTTAAAAGTCTTACTATTTCAAATAAATGCAGCTCTTTTCTATTCATCAAAAAATCCTGAAAAAATGTATCATGGTTTCCACAAAAATATTAAGTGGCACAACTGTTTACAACATTAATAATAATGTTTCTCGAGCAGCCAATCAGCATATCAGAATGATTTCTGAAGGATCGTGAAGGATTAATGATGCTGAAAATTCAGCTTTGATCACAGAAATAAATTACATTTTAAAATAAAAATTACAATAGAAAACAGTTCATTTTAAATTGTAATACTATTTCACAATGCTACTATTTTTACTGTATTTTTCATCAAATAAATGCCATGGTGAGCAGAAGAGAATTTAAAAAAAAAACTTTAAAAAAATCTTAACGACCACAAACTTCTGAACAGCAGCGTATCTATTTTTGATTATAATATTTCTAAATATGATACATATTAAATCATCATATTTTGATGATTTATGATTATGATATGATATTTACATACAGCAGTAACCACAGTATATAGTACCAATATTATTAATACTGAATATGTAACCTATTTATGGTAGGACCAGACTTGTTTGACAAATCACTGTACAACTAATGTTCGAACAACACAATCTGAAGAATGAGATCAACCAAAAATGTTTTTGAAAAATGTAACACAAACAAATCTACACTCCAAAAAGTATTCAAATGAAACAAAGGGGACAAAAAAATCTAAACAATACATTGCTTGACGCATAATTAGTGTTACCGAAGAGTAAACACACACAAACACAACACGCACTCTCCTGTGCACGATACACACAGCAGCGTTCTCACACTACCATCCACAGCAATATAAAGCAGGTAGGATGTACTGTAGCTTGCACACTCACTGTGGCTGGCTCATGGTGTGATGTGCAGCAATTGCTGAACGGACGTCCACTTTCGACTCTCTCAAACGTGAGCTCTAGTTTGTGCTAGACGGAGGCGACTTCACTCATACCACACCTGAGGAGAAAAGCAGAGAAACATACTCTCTTTAAACACATCGTAATATCAAGTAAAGGCTTATTAGCAACTTCTGTGTGTGTTTTAAAGCTGAAATTCACCACTATATGTTTATGAACGCATGAACATCTAGTTCAGCCGTGACACAGTTATCCTTGTGGAGCAATGAAATTGTCGCTTATGCAATAAAACCAATGAAGGGAGATATTAGATCTGTTATGAAATCAAACACTCGCTTAACTTCACAGTTTTACCAGTGAACTGTGACATAAATCAAGTGAAGAAACCGTTAAAGCTATGATTCAGCAAAGGTACATACTCCATTTAAGTCTTGTCTACAAAAAGTTATTAATTATTTCCATCTTTATTGTTCACCAAACACACCAACACACATTGACCTCTTGTGACCACATGCATGCCCAAGTAGTTTTCACAATAGAAACTTTCCATTAAATAATCTATAGCCTAATAGGCTTTTCAACTAAATATTAACATTAAAATAATTATTAAAAAACAAGAATTGTTTGTGAAACAGCAAAAAAAAAAAAAAAAACTAACTAAAAGATAGCATCAAAAAAGCTTTGTTTTGGTTCACAGAAATTAAAACTGAACTGAACTGAAAACTGAAAATAGTTTGAAAAGTGTAGAGGAGTATATACACACACACACACACACTTGGGCCTTTTGACATTCTTTGTGAAACTTAATCAAATGTAATAGCTAATAGGCCTATATATAATCATCTGTTAAGCATTCTATTGTATAATAATGTTTGTTAATGCTATTAAGAAAAGACATTGCATAGATATTTTTTCTTTAATTACTTTTCATTAGCATGAGAGGCAAACAGCACCTTTCACCTAAACAAGAATGCTAAAACGAACCCTCACATCTTCCTCTCTCCTCTACCTTGTCCCACTTCCATCTATTCAGAACTTCCTGTCTCACGGACCTGCGTACGCTATGCCTTAATATGATTTGTCTTGTGTACTAGTTTCACCTCATCCCCCAGCCTGAGGTAATATCTTTTGTAAAACCGCTAGAGTTTGAGACACCAGCATTTGTCAGTCTCAGTGAATGAAGCTTTCATCACAGCACTTCAGTGATTGAAGCCGGTGGTAAACGAGCGCTACGGACCATTCTTTTTATTGATGCCTGTCCATACCAAGGTTGACAACTTCATCGCACCTCGACACAAAAAAGGGCAATCGTAGGCAGTCTGAGCTTTGTGTAATGCTTACCCTGCTGAAAATCAAGCTGTTTGTACAATAATAACCTTGTTTTTTTTTAATTGAGTTGAGGTTGTTATTAAATGTGAATGAAGCACTATGCACTCAGCTCACACATGCATACCATATGTAGGACAGTATGAATTCTGGGAATTCAAAGGGCCAGCCTTCACTACAAGAATATGTCTTGTTCCGTTTGAGGGACCCCTTTTAAAAGGGTCAAAGAAAGTATAAACGAATCATCTTTAGCTCTCTGTAACCCCTTTTGTTTGTATGATCCCATATAGCAAAAAAATATTTATTTTCAAAATATACCAAAAAATATATTTGCTAAAAGAGGTTTCAAAATATTTTGTCAGAAATATGTTTTCTATAATATATATTGGCTGTTTTTTTGTATATTTTTGAAAATATATTTTAAAAATAAAAATATATTTCAATAAAAATCAGCAAGGAGCGACTTTACAATGTTCCAAAAAAAAAAAAAAAGACAATACAATATATGAAAAAAGAGAACATTATTAAAACATTATAAATCTAGTTTTGATCTCTAATAAGCTATTTTGTCCTCATTTGTATTTAGCCTACATATAGGCTATTGTAAGATTGGAAATATATTGTCTTGCCTTTAAAATACATTTTGAAATAAGTTTTGGTATATGAAGGTTGAAAATAATATTTTCTTTGAAAAATATATTTCATTGCGCTTCACTGTTTGCAACATATATTTAGCTTATTTAAAATACTTTTAGAATTTTTGTTTTTTTTTACCATATAAGATGATCAATTTAAAGGCATAGTTTGATTTGTGAAATGGTTCATTAAAACTGGTTCGACTGGTTCATTGAAAAGAATCGACTCTAAAGAATGATTTGCTTAGTGATTTTGTTCTCGTGTTCGACTCAGTGATCCGTGAACTGGATCGGTGAACAAATTATATAAATTTGTATCAGTTTATTCTTTTTAGTTAACTGGACCGAATGATTTGTTTATGAATTAGATTGGTATGTTTGTGATTCATTCATGAATCAGACATGTTCTCAAATGTCAATAATTCTACATATAGCAGTTATCTAGTTAAAGCCGGCAATATCATCATATCTATACCTATTCTATGTAATTTTTGACCTTTCTAATAATTGACTGCAAGCTTGCATTCAGACCTGCCTCCATCCATTCAACAACCTATAGATGGAACCAAGTCTTGATAATCTGTTACCCTTGAGTGTAGGTCACAATACGGAAGAAAAGATCTGTCACTACTTCGGTTTCATTGTGACTTTCATACCTCACAGAGAGGGAAGATTATCAACTTAAATATCAACTTTCCTAAATATCATTTGATTTAAAAAAACAAATTGGAATGTAGTGCACATTTCCTGCTTGCTATTTTTTAATGTGTTTTTGTTATTTTATGGAGTCTGGCAGTGTTTGTCACTATGGGCTGTATGGAAACATGTTCAAATCTTCAAAATAGTTGTAAATAAATAAATTAGAATAAAAATAAAATAGAATAAAAATAGAAATAAACTCAGAGAAGAAAAAAAATATTTTTTTAATAATCATGATTTTCACTTTGGCATAAACTACTCCTTTACACCCTCTAAATGGTTTATACTAATACATCTTGTTCTGATATCAAATATTCTGTTAAAGGGGTCATATGATGCGATTTCAAATTTTCCTTGAAAGTGTTACTCTTCGGAGTGTTACAAGCTCTTGGTGCATAAAGAAGATCTGTAAAGTTGCAAAGACTAAAGTCTCAAATCCAAAGAGATATTCTTTATAAAAGTTAAGAGTCAGCCACGCCTACCTAAAACGGCTCGTTCTAACACGCCCCCACATACCTACGATGAGCTTTGTAAAAATCGACGCGTTTCAGAAAGGCGGGGCATAGAGGAGAAACAATAATGTACAGTATGTGGAAAATAATGTGTTTTTTTAACCTTAAACCGCATAAACACATTTAATTACACCAAATACACAAAATAATGTTCTTTTTAGCAACATCATATGACCCCTTTAAAAGTATAACACTTGGTCCTGGTTTCCCTTTTATTCATATTTAAATGCACATGAGCTACTGATCTGTTATATCATGTTTATTAAAGTACATCAACATAAAAAAAAATAAATAGCAAAATGTTATGGAAATCCTTGTATTATAATTCTCAACAGTCCTATACACTATAAAAAGCACTTAAATGTATAATATATACATGATAGCATAAGATAGTATTAACTAAATGCATGATTGTATTATCTGCATAGCTGTACAGTCTGCTATATAGACCTTACCTTGACAGTCACCTCTGATAACATTTTTCTACTATTGATTTTAAAACATGTACTTTATGTAAAGCTGCTTTGAAATTATTCTTATTGTGAAAAATCCTATACAAATAAATGTGAATTGAAACTGAAATTAAAAAGTAAAAACTTGATATTCTTACCTTAAGGAGTTACAATAGTCTACCTGATCTGACCCATAAAAATTACGCTTTTCGTTTGTTATGCTACTGTAATCAAGTCATTTGAAATAATACTGTTGACCTGAATAAAGCTTTTTAATTTATAGGTTAGGACATACCACACTTTTTAGGTGACCTTAAAAAAATTACAGCCAGCATAATATAATATTACCACCATATATACTTTCTACATTAACATAACGTTTCATTTTAACAATATGCTACATTAATTAGTAGCTAGCCTAAATGTTGAAATTACCATTAACTAAGATTTTAAAAAATGCTTTAGAATTATTTATTCTTAGTTCATTTTAACTATGTAGTTAACAAATGCAACCTTACTGTGAAGTGTTACTGATTTTTTAAACGAATTTCTGTATTTTTATGAGCTTGTGATAATTGTGCATTGTGGTGATGTAGTGCAGTTTGCTAAATTGTAATACTTTTTAAACAAAAAAGAAAAAAGGGGGAAAAAACGAATTTGTATTATATATTTTATGAGTAAATGTTATGAATAATAACAATAGCTTATGTTTTGTCAATGTGCTGTCCGATGAGCGACCCGACAGTGTTGTTGCTATGGTTACCTCCTCACGCAAAGGCGATATCTGTCCACATGTCTAACTTTTGTGTAAATACAGTTGAATCATACTATTTATACATATATGTAAAAAAAAAAAATACACACATTTTACCCCCAACCTTCATTTAGCTCATTCGCAATCAGTGTACTCCTCAGGTGTCTTCAAATCATGTAGCCTAGTAGTAGGCAAACGTACTCTAAATACTAGCTGAAGGGAAATTCAGGTCATAGGCTAATCGAGCGTTTCTCAGCCTGCAGTGCATGAGGTGTTCACGTCTCCCAGATTGAACACGATAAATATAACGAACGAATTATTTGTACGTCTCACATCAATGCTCATTTGGATTTGTCGTGTTGACCACGTGCCCAAAGAAGACCTACAATGGACCTACAGAATCAAAGTTCGTAGATGCCACTATCAGAGAAGTTTAGCGGTGAACTTAACCAGACGGAACATATTCAGGCAACATGAAAGCCAAAATACATGCAAGAAACATGGCGATGGAAACATTTCGTGTCATTTTGACGCTCTTCTCCAAGCTATACTTGCAACCAAATTTCCTTACTCGTCAGGAATTACCAAAAAGTCCTCATCAACACAACATTACATGCGCACTGTAATTTATGAAAATGGAAGACGTGTCTTCTATTTCCCAGGCCTAGAGGAGCTATCGGTGGTGTCTTCTGATTAAAGCATCAGCTACTCAGCACCATGACAGCTCGTGATTTAGTGATGCAATTACCAAAATAACAGCAAACACCCATTAAGCCAATAATTGGTGGAATGGAAGCGAGAATAAGCAGTGATGAAATGCTCGTCTCCAAGGGGTACCTACCGCGATTTACATCCTTGAAACTTTAATCGTGTCTCCCTGGCCCTCGTGGTTATGATAACGTGTCCCTTGCCGATAATCAGAAGAGGCTTGATGCGTGAAGGCAGTTTCGCAGTGGTCAAGCATCCGTTCTGCTGCTTCTTTCGCGAATAAAGCGGACGATGAGCAAAGGCGAGCCGTAACACGAGCATCATCGCTCAGCGAGGTGACATTAGGAGTCTACACGTCCAGAGAAAGGCATCGTTTTCGCGACAGGAGGAGTGCATTGTGTGTCTGTCGTGTTGTGCTGAGGGCTTCCCCCTTCAAATCACGCCAGGGACTCCGTCTCCATCGTGCCGATTAGACGCGATTCGATTGAAGCATGAACGCCAGCATCGCTACGTTATGTCGAAGGAGGTGGAGGAGGAGGAGGAGGAGAAGGAGGGGATTCATTACGTAGAGAAAACGCTTTTCTATTGGTTTTCTATACGAGAGATGGCAAATGTTCTTTGGGATAACCTCGCATCCATCAAATCACCTTATACTGCCCGCCGAGGTGCGAAGTCACGCTGGCATTTCCACGACTAACGTTATGTCCCTCACAATTACTACGGCGTGCTGCAAACACACATCAGTCATGCATATACCGTCAAGAGCTGTCATGAGTCATATGGAGATGGCAGAGGTGACATTGAGATGTGAGGAATGCGTTTCAAGGTGTGTGTGTGTGACAGAGAGAGAGATGGAGACAAAACATAGGTCTGCTCTTGTTCAAAGCTGCTCCAGACTTTCTGATAAGACTATCGTATTACTACTGTACATCCCATTATAATACTACCTTACAATAGTAATATCATCAAACCATTAAATACTATCACAGTACTGCACATAATGCTTTCATACATAATTCAACTAACTTATAATACTTATCTTACAATAGGCTACACTGTAAAAAGTGGTGACTTGCATATCTTTAACGTAAAGCGCAGTATACTGCTACTTGGTTTGACCCATAAAGTATTTTGTTGTTATAAATTAATGTATTTAGGTTAAGTGATATTAAATAATATTTTTGACTTGAATAAAAGCAATTAAACTTTTTTTTTTTCAGTTTACTGGTGTGATCATGCTACTTAAGTAATATCATAACACTGTATATACTACTAATCTCATAGTACTGTCATATCATAATGTAGATTACAATTGTCATTTTGAAATACTATAATGATATAGCCTACTATAATATTCCTGCACATTATTCCAGTATCACAATATAATATAATATTTGTAGTACCATCAGACTAGCAGTGTACTGTTACTTCACATTATAAAAATACAGTTTTCTAGAGTACAAACATGTATATTTGCCAGTTTATTAAGTGAATTTACTGTTCAAAAGTTTGGAGAGGTTAACATTTTTTAATGTTTTTGGGGAAAATGTCTCTTGTGCTCAATTGATAAAAAATACAGTAAAAACAGTATTATAATATTGTGAAATATTATTACATGCCACATGATCCCTCAGAAATCCTTCTCATGTACTGATTTGCTGTTCAAGAAACATTTATTATCCATGCTGAATACAGTGGTTGCTTAATATTTCTGTTGGAATCGTGATATTCATTTACTAACTGCTTGTTTTCTTTAAAAAAAAAAAAACACTAGCTTCTCTAATCTTTTTGTATTCTATCTATTTGTTTTCTTTTTTATTTATTATACAATTAACAAAAGCAAAAAAAAAGGCCTCTAACACTAGCTTGCTCTATTCTTTTTCTATTCTATCGGTTTTCTTTTTATTTATTATATCATTAAAAAAAACCTTGCTATGTGTATTGCGTTAAGCTAACTGAGACTTGTTATAGCACTTGTATATCATTGCTCTTTTGTTGATTTTGATTGCTTCCATTTTCCTCATTTGTAAGTCGCTTTGGATAAAAGCATCTGCTAAATGACTAAATGTAAAT